AGCAGTGGTAAGTCTGCCTTTAGATGACTTTTACGCACCACATTAAAAACACCCAGTTACTTTATAAAAGGAGCGGGGTGGAGCTCCATGCTTTCTCGTGGAAGGTGCATACAAAGAACTTGCATTTCTGGAATGACTGGGACCCTGTTGTTAGCTCTATACATTTTAAGTTATTTTAACTGAATTTAATACTGTAATGTATGTGCTAACATTTACTTAGTCAAAATCTCACTAGTATGGCCTTAATACATTTTTCTCTCTCTTTTTTAAGGAACAGTGCTTTGGTCTTCTGGCTTCATAAGGAAAGAGTGGGTTGATTTTGCCACAGACATTGTTGACTTGCACTGAAATGAAAAATTCATCTAGTTGATCAGGGTTGAAAAAAAAATGAACAATGAAAACATTACTTGATCGATCCAAGGCTTCTTTCCTGATACACATCCATCACAACAGACTTGTGTATGGGGGTTGTACACAGTGGGTGGTGTCTTCCTTTGACCTAAATAGAGAGGTGTGATGGTCAGAAGGGTGGAAAGATGAGTGAGTGCAGAGTAAACATGTTGAGATGAATAATGTCCACAAAAGATGACTCAAAGGGTCTGAGAGAGAACAAATTATACATGTTCACATTCAGCATGTTTACTTGTAGCTGCATTTTCTAATACAATACCCTCTTTCATATTCACAAGTAAGAGCCTGCTTATTTTCCCATCCTTTGCACTGTACTGATGATAAAATTGAGATTTCAGCTCAGTCATGTCTGTGAAGCAATCAACAATCTGATCTTCCTTCCCTCTCCTCTGCCATGTATTGCTTATCCACATGTTAAAAATGCTAAAATGCCAAATCATGCTTTGTTTTTACCAGCAAGAGTTGGATGTTTTATATCTTGCGAAACGTAAGCAAGAGGTGATGTAATCTCCTCAGAGGAAGGGAAAGACCCTAGTGTGGGCTTAACCCATATTCACTTTTAAAACCCTTAACGTCTGGGAAAAACTCCGAAAGGCAAAACATTAGACAGATGTGGAGGAATTACCAACCACAAAAAAACTGAAGCATGTGAAGCCAAATGTGCGAAAATCAGAGTGAAAGAGAAACAGTGGGAAAGTGGAGAGAGTGGAAAACATCTCGTAAGCAGAAACTAAAAGTTGGCTGACTTTCTGGTTCAACAACATGTCATAAACATAACAAGTTACAGGGGTACTGCAAAGTTCATGAACCCATTCAGAGCTCCAGGCAGTTTTTTTTAAAACAAACAAGCTGCTGTTTGAAGTTTATTGTTACGTCAGTAATCTTTTTAGTGCCTCTAATGATTATTCTTTAATTATTCTCAAATCTCATTATAGTTTTTAAAGGATTTATCAAAGAATGTCAGCATAGGTCTCAATCATCCAGGTCATCCTGGTAATCTAAGGAGCCTGGAAAAACAAAATGACCAGACTTCTTTGCTTCACCTCGTATCTGACAAGCTTCTTCAGTCCAAAACAAATGGTGGAGACTGAGAGTCCCAAATACTTAAACCGTAGTGGGATTTGTCCCTTAAGAGAGTCATTGACCCACTATTGATCCCATACCTCATCAAATGGGCCAAGTTGTGAAAAAGGATGTGAGTCATTATTAGCAGAGGTTTCAGGTGAAACCATCATGTGACCTATTGAGGTTAACTGACTGAGTGAAGATGTGAGTGGGCGTCAAGGCCCCTGGGAAGGAATCTCAAAACTGGATTGTAGGTTACAGTCAGTTGGTGTCGTAAGGAGTTTGCCCTACCAGCATGACATCTCAGCGCACTTCGAACCCAGCCAGACACTCTGGTTAATCCCAAGGACAAAATGCTCAAACACAAGCTAAACTAGTGTTTCCTACCCACCTGCTGCTCATAAGTGTGCTGTGAGAAATGATCAGGTGTACCGTGGAAGATTATGTGGTTCCACCTGATTAGTACTGTAAGCGAACGGTGCAAGTAATGGGCAGAACAATTACATTACCTACCACTAGAGGGAAGTACAACTACCTAATCTAATTAAATAGGTTGCCAACTGCCAGTAAAACAGAAGAAGACCAAGGAGAAATTACATAATAATCATGCTGAGTGAGACAACTCAGTGTGTAAAAGCAATAAATATTGAAAAGAATAAGTAGTCAATCTGACCTGGATCCTGGAGAAAATTCTGACCCAGATGAATGCCCTAGTATGAGTAGTGGTCTGAAGAAAGCAAAAAAGGTATACTGGGGACAAACCGAGCCAATTCTGCTATGCATGGTGTGCCGGGAAAAATGATCAATGGTGGTGTGCTGTGTGATTTTACTAATGTGAAATATGTGCCGTGGTTCCAAAAGATTGGGAAACACTGCTCTACCATTTTTATTTTATTTATTTATTTTTTATTACAAAGCTTAATGATTTATAGGATGATGGAAGAAGATATGTGATAAGTTACGGTTGTCATGTGGGCCAAAATGCCAGGAGATTTTTTATGGCACATTTCAGCCCTACACTAATGCTGCACATAATGACAACATTGGCACTACAGACATGTTACATTAAAACAGGTTGCTACTAAACATTTAGATGTCTGTATCCATGGAGTGAAAATAAAAGCACTTCAATACATGCAGGCTTGTTTACAACCTTTTTCAGACGTCATTGCATTGCTTTTCTTTTACGCATCATTCCATCTTTCCTGATGGAAGACAGATAGTACTTCACTGTCTGCAAGTATGACGTGACATTCTTCACTGTCATTAAATATAAGACATAATTTTGCGAAGTACTAAATCTTTCAGTTTGTATGAAGAAACATTGTTCACTGTTTTATGTATTTCAGCAACCTGGGGGACTAAAGTCAGACAAAAACAGCTTTTGTCCTTTTGGTTCTTTATTCCCAAGAAAGTATAGTAAACAAAAAACGTATTCACACACCTAAGATTAGAATTTAACACAATTTGTTTCTGCTCTTTTTGTGTAAAGGTAATTGCTAAAAAATGTTTCTCTGGTAAATTTTGGTAGGAAGGACACTTTCTTGGCAGGCTTATAGCAGTCTTTTTCTTAAGATGACAGCTTAAATGCTCCCATTTCACTACATGCCAACAAAAAAACATCAAGCCATTCACTTCTCAGTAGTGCGCAGGACTTGAGTTACTTGTACCATGAAATTCCTATTAATGCTTTGACATAAATAGAGGATTTGGAGGAACTTCTGCCAGTTCTGCAAGTTAGACGATGTAAAATGATTGCTTATAACAGCATGACTCTGTAGAAGAGACCTGAATTGACTTGAGAACATTCAGAAAATACAAAGTGCACTTCAAAATCAAAAATACAAAAAAAGAAGTACAGAGGTACAGATGTTCCTTTCCCAGAAGGAATTGCATTTGAGATTTTTGACTTCCAAATTAGCAAAAATCCATCAAAAATAAGTACAATATCTCAGTTTCTTAATGTGCTATTCTGCCATAGTGTTACTTCAGATTTAAGATATTTAGTTTGAAAGTGTTTCTTTGAAAGGCGTTTTTCTCTTTCACACAAGATAAAAAACTGAGCTAACTGCTTTGCTGGAAGCCGTGCTGGCATCACAGAGTGATGGGTAAGTCCCATGAGATGGTAACTGACAGATAAGGCAACCACATATCAAAACAAACAAACATGGAGACGGTGTTACCTGAGGCACAGAACCAGTGAGATTCTTGATTTCTCTCACAGCAGCGACGTTCCTTTGGATTGTAACATAACGACCCACAGAGATGTGTTTTTGGTTCAGTGCTGTGGATGTACAAAGACAAAAATAAACACAAACAGTCCACATCAACTTGTTATTATTGTGATGATCTATGTTTTTTTTGTCTTTATTTGGCATTTTTAGTTTCCTTGTGCTTCCTGGTTTAATCATTTGTATTGATAGTTATTAGTTACTTGTTTATTTAGTTTTAGTTAGTTATTTAGTTCATGTTCTTGTTGTCTTGGTCTCGTCTGTGTTCTCCCCGGCCTGTCATGTCTCCCTTGCTCTCTCACTGTCCTCGCTCTCTTGCTGTCCCTCGCTCTCTGTCTCTGTGTTGTGTTTCCTGTTTTATTTTGATAGTCCATGTCTCAAGTGCATTGTGTTCAGTTTTAATTCCCTTGTCTTGTTATGTCTGATTTTTTCCACCTGTTGCCCATCCCCTTGTTATCCTGTGCATTTAAGTCCTCAGTCTCCCTCTGCTCATTGCTGCGTCGTCCCAGTTTGCTGCATTTGCCTGCGTGTTCCCTTTTTTATCCCTAGTTTTGAGTTCCTATTTTCCTAGTTTTAGTCCCCAGCTCTTGGTTTTTGAGTTTTGTATACTTGTACTTTTAAGCATTTTGTTACAGTGAATTAAGCTGCCTCCTTCAGTTAATTCCTTTGTCTCTGAGTCCTGCATTGTGTCCTGCCTCTGCTTTTGTTACAGCACAACAATGACACTGCAGATGTTGTCCCTGGAATCTGCTTGAGCCAGTCTTCCAGTATTTGGATTACAGTTCCTAATGTTCCTACCACTGGGACCACTTTGGACTTTGACTTCCACGAAATCTGAATGTTGTGACGTTTGAATAAAGTTATATTAAGAGTAAAACCTTTAGTCAACTTACCACTTAGACTGGCGCTCAACTGTCTGACAAAAAAAAAAGAAAGAAAAAGGATGTTTTAATGCACCCATATTGGCAAATAAAGGACCAAAATGTTTCTTTACTGATCACTGTATGAATGAATACAAAGAGAATAGGAACCCTACATTTATTGGAGTGTATTTCTTACCTTTTCTCTCACACCTGTGGACATAAAGGATAAAGGCTTTTGACTGAAAATAAACAAATAAATAAAACAAATAATAGGATTTGGTTTATAAAATGGTGCCAGATGGAACAAAGTGTAATCTTGATATTGTTTTTTTTTTTACAAGATTTTGAATTGCAATTAAATTAAATATAAAGTTAGGTATAAAACTTTTAAACTACTAAAAGTAAACACTTTTTAAAAATAGGTTTCTAATATCTGTATGAATTTGTCTTTGGCAAGTTCTGACTTTCACATAAAGCTGACTTACAGCCAGATGGATCCTTAGGTTGAATCTCAAGAACACCCTCCTTATTCAAAAAGCAACACTGAGTGTCAGTGTCATAATGGTTGTGACCACAGCACTGGTGATTACTGGAATTCCTCATTAGAATTATTTTGTTATTACTTGGGCCACAACACAGCTCCTTTTCCACATCATATGCCCCTGTGGAAAAGATCCAGATCTTAAAAACTGAAACACATACAGTGTACCGTAATCGTAGCTAAGTTCATGTTATGCTACCACTGGGTTTACCTTTTTATCATGCAGTATAGCTTTAAAATACTGTTCTTATGTTTAAGTGGAATGCTTATTCTATAATTAGCTCGACTTACTTTTATCACAACATTTGTACTTCTGTGGAGATTTGTGAACAACATTTAACTGACAGCATAGTTGCGTATTTTTGTTGAAGGTTATATTTCCACATGGGAGAACTGCAGAGACAAAGAGAAAGTCAACATACAGGCATCAGCTACAGTAATTTACACAACCTTCCTTTAACTACTGTATGATTAGTTTTGGACTTCGTGAAGATAAGAGATGATCAAAGGAAAATAGAAAATACAAAATTTGTTAGTGTTTAGCATAAGCAACATTGTTGTTAGCTGTTGTCATATTGATAATCATCTATTACTGCTCTTGGCGGAGGCGGATGCATCCTATTTCCCTCTCCCTCCCTTATCTTTCCTGTTTGGCTTCTATGTCCTTGTCTAGTGTTTGGAACAATGATAACAGAGTTCTGGCTGATTGGAGCTGGCTTGGACCTGTTTTATCATAGAACAAAGAAAGTAGTTACAGTTGTTCAAAACCCCACAAGGCTGGCCGACACGATTGAAGATGAGTGAGTACTCAGACTGTCTTTATTGAACGCAATATTGATAAGATCTTGGAGAAGCTCATGGCTCTGCAATGGGAATTGAGAGACCTGATGACCAGTGATGGACATTCAGACCAACTTGGAAATTGGAATGCAGTTTTTCGTTCAAACCCAAACAACCATCTCCTACATGTGGCTACCCAAGGCCAAGACTGGCCAGAACAACAATCCTCATTGATGACATAACTGTGTTTTGTGTATCTGCTCCTATCCTTTAAGGTCACATGCATCAGCTGGACACTGTTGACTTCAAGTAGAACACAAGTTCTACTTGAGAGAGTATTTTACTCCCACCGTGCTGTCTACATGGGTTAATACCTAACCTCGCCACCCCCCTTGCAAGTCATGTGATTTTATGTCGTAAGACCTGAAGATTTAGGTGCTTTCTGTGCTGAGGTGTTTTTTTCTGTTCTTAAACTGCTCTCCCCTTGGAGCTCAGTCTGGGAGAAGTTCTTTTTTCTCCTCCTCTTTTCTCATGTATTGTGTTTTTTTCATACGTCTCTGACCTGTCTTCCCAATGTTATGTTTGTGTACTCTATGTATGGTCAGAAGGGGTGCACATGATGGCGCCAGAGCATGTAAAACAATTCCCCTCTGAATAATTAAAGTGTTATCAATCAATCAATCAATTATAGTTTTTTTAAAGAAAGGAAAGCTGGCTCCCTATTGGTAGCCATGTTTCTATTTTTTTCTTTCACCCTCTCTCACTTTTTTTCGCTTCACACAACACGTGATTTGTCAATATGTGTTTCTGCCTTGTGTTTGCGGTACTTGCAGCAGCAGTAGCACACAAACAGAGCAGGATGGAGAGAGAAAAGAGAGGTGTGGGCAACAACAAGAGTCAACATCATCAAATTTGAAAAGTATAGTAAAGAAAATGAGTTACACCAAGAAAACACGCAAAATCTGGACACAGAGACTGTGCATTATGGCAACAGTCCCCTCTGAGAGGATCTTCTCCAAAACAGGACAGATAATTACTGACAGAAAAAAATGGATCAGCTTCTCAAAGTTGAGGCACTTAGTATTTCTAAATGGTCTGTGTGTTCACTTTTTTGTTTTGCTTTGCATATTTGAATCTATATTTTATTGTGTTGTGGTTTGCAGTGTTAAGAGTTGAAATGTAAATAGTTGTGATGTGCAGTTACGTGAGCTTACCTGCTGGAGAGTCCTCCATGCAGCAGTCTGAATCTTTAGGTTGTATCTCCAGAATGTTTTCCTTATTTGTACAGCAGCACTGAGTCTTGGTGTCATACTGGTTGTGGCCACAGCACCGGTGGTGGCTAGAATTCCTCACCAAAATTATCCTGTTATCAGTTGGACCACAACACAACTGCTTATCCTTATCAAAAACCTCTGTGGGGAAAAACATGTTTTTAAAAAAAAATCATACTCAACCATAACTTAGTCTTTATTTTGCTGATAGTCCTACTGAAAACAATGATGCTTGTACTCAGCATCACCATTTGTTAAACATCTTTGTTTCTCACAAAGACATGTCATCTGGAATCAAAAATCTCAGTTTTGTTGTTTCCTTTGTTTCTCTTTAGTTAAGTGGTTCTTGGATTGGATTGTACCAGTAGCTGTAAAGGACTGTTTACTGTATATAACACTATTTACTTTGGCACAACCCAACTGAAAGTTTCAAGCACGTCAAATAATTCTTTTTTTTTACATTTGCCTTTGACATATGAGAAAAGGCAACTAACTACCTAAGTACAACACATCGTACTATTGGATGATGTGTTGTACTTAAAGAAAGTACATCAAAGTACCTCAAAGAAACACAATACAAGAAATCAAACTCAGTATAAGAAAAATGAAATGTAGAGAGAAATCTAAAACTACATAAATGCTAAACAGTGGCTACAACTCAGACACAACTCAAAATGTTTAGAACAAACATTAAATTAAAAGAGAATCCAAAATTTAAACACTAGAAAAACAATGAAAAAAACAAACTCAAGAATTCACAAAAATAAAGCAAAAAAACAAAATAAGCTGCTTTGAGGAATCTACAATAAAATTGTTACACCTTACTGAAATAAGGAGCTTCTTCAAAAGCACTGAAGAGGAATAGAGCCTGACTAGCTAAGCCTCAGTGTTTAACACTCAAGCAAATCAGATTGTTAAAAATTCACAGACACCTGAGATCTTGTGATGGTTTAGATGTAATGTTATGTTTTAATTGTATGCTGTATGTTTGGTGTGATGTTTTTCACTAGTTTGTCCAGCATTGCTCACCTTTACCACAACATTCAGCCATTGGTCCAGGTTTTGTTGTGATGGTTGACTGACAACACATTTCATTGACTGGGTTGTACGCCTTCAGATCACAACACTTGGATACCTTTTCATTCAGACCCTGGTCAACACTGGCTGTAAAAACAAGACACGGATACCAGAACCACAGTGTAACTGCTGAACATGTGATGTCTGTTCATGTAAACAGTAATTTGTAAAATGTTATTGCCTGTCTGTAATTTCTATTAAAGCATTATTTTTTCCATCACATTCAGTTTCTTGCACAGTTAATGTCACCACTACAATTTTAGTTTACAAATGCATTACCTATGATGTCGTGCTCATGCTGTACTTTACAACAAGTGGCTGTTTCCGGATTGTAAGGCTCATTTCCACAACAAGAGAGACTTGCACCAGGGTAAAGTTTGTTTTCACAGCAAGTAGCCTCTTGGATGTCATACCATGTTCCATTACAGTCTTTTCTAAAAATAAAAGATAACATAAATAACAGTAAATACAGCTTTTGCTGTAGAACATATAATATTTCAAAGTGAGACTCTAGAAGATGCTTCCGACGTTCTGTGCTTACATTTAAAGTTTTTGTGAGGTTGTTTGGTTCATGCGCTTATAGCTTCCGCAATGTTTGCACTTTTGTGACAGACACAGGATCAGTTCTGGTCCCATGATTTAAGTTTAAAAACAAAATGGATTGTGCCCTTCCAGTTTTTTCCTCTCACTTTTCGGTACATTCTGATATGTAAATCATAATAGTGTCATCTTTAAAACACCGCATCGCTACAGTCTACATAACCATTATGTCTCCCCGTCTGTTCTTGTGTGAAACATGGCTTCTAATGCAGAGCTTAACCTGTAAAGATGGGTCAAGTGCTTGAACTACAAAACACAAATAGTACAGACAGTGAGTGAGGAGGACTCACCGATAACAGTTGTTTCTGGAGGCTGCGCTGGTTCCTCCTGCGGAGTTTGTCAACAAGCACAGTCACGTGAGTCGCTTCTTAGTTAAGGCTAAAACAAGTTCATTTGTCAACATTTTTTTCTACATGATGAGAGTTACACATGGACTACTGCGACAATGGAGCCTATAATGGTAAAACAAAAGTCCTTGGTGATCTGGGAAATGAGAATCCGTCTACCGCCCACGAGTCACGCTACCAGCTGTGATTTCTCACCAGCACTGCTGTAAATTGCCGAATCGACATACATAACACGTTTTCGCACCTAAGGAATAACCGTCTGTTTCTGGTCGTTTCTGATTGTTCAAAAAAGAACATTTATAATGTTCTTTTTTGAACAATAAAGATATCAAGAAAAAAATAATAAAATAATAAAAAATAATAATATCAAATATGTATCATGCAGTGTTGTGCAAATAAATAAACCTTAACCCTACTTACCACAAGCAAAAATCACCCAAGCTGAAAAATTAGCACAAAGCATTATTATTCAATTAAAACACACACGCGCGCACAAAAACCATATAACGCATCAAAACCGATTTCGGCAAATGATGTCGAATAACTTACCAAATCGTAGCACCCAAAGCACGAACATTTTGAACTCTGATTACCCACTGAAAGTGAGATCCAAACTGACAAAGGGATGAGTTTAAATACTACGTTAGCCACACCTCCCTTGTGAGAATATCAGTGGCATTTATAAACAAACCGTGAAGCTGGTGTGAACACAAGACGGACGTGCAAAAGGCGTATGCACAACACTACTACTACTACTACTACTACTACTACTACTACTACTACTACTACTACTACTA